AATTCTTCTTATAAGGTCCTGACTCACCAAGAGTCTATAAAAGTCCTTATACACGTGCACTGCACCAAAGATCAGGTGCCCCAATACGTAAATATATATGTCACCAAAAGCACTATTAATATGCCCATGGTATTATTATAAACATATATGTTATACACGTTTCGATAATGGAATCCATACAAACTGATTGTTTGTTTATTAAATTATATCAAGAATTATACAATATCATATATAAAACAATTGTGCTATTATATCATAAATCATGCCTTGGATTCCAATAATCCCCAAAACAATATCCTTAGCCATGTGGACAACATACCCATGGTGAACCAATTCAGGTTTACAATAAAAATGTATACGCAACATATATACCTATTCTCGCGCCATTCTCTAGCACCTAAGGTATTTCCAAAATTGCCTCTATGTATACACCACCGAAAGCAGCTTCCAACAACAGCTAAGATAATGCCGGAGTGTACGTTCTTCTATTATCTTAATTTTAGTCACAACTCGTATTTTTATAAGACTACCCTATTCCAGCTGTATGACAAAATTGTCATACATTTATCCTAAATACTGACTTAACTCCACAATTTCTACCTCTGAGGGCATTTAATTAGCTAAAAACTGAAAATGTTCAGTATTCTCTCCACAAACAGTCAAAGCAAACAGAATTATTTGCAATTAAACTGAATATATATAAACCGGACAAATTTCCAGTATAAAATGTATATCCATGACCACAATTCACCGTACAACAACGACTGAAAACATGAGAAACCGTACCCCTTTCCTTTCGAACTTTGAGAAACAAGCACAAGATATGCTTTATAAATCCACAATATGTAAACACAGGAATAACAGACAAAACTAACAAAACGGACAGAATACAAGTACAAAACTTACTTCAATAATCCAAAATGGTAACAGTTAAAATCAGCAGATCCAATATTAAAACTCTACAAAACAGTGTTTTAATTATGACATTGAAATGACAATGATTACTTCCAATTAGCATTCCAGAGATGTCATGTGCTTTGACGTCTTTTATATGACGTCATTTTGTAAACATGGCGTAAAAATGCATCGCCGACTTCCTGAATTTAGCAAAGATGTATCTGCCTTTTTGATGACGATCAAATACACTTAAATTAGTGAATTTTCTTTGTTCATCTCTAAACACGTGTGGTGTTTGTTTTCCTTTGAAATGCACATAACGTGTGATACCGGGAACGTGAACAAAATACTCTGTGGTCCAAATTCAATTTTTCCATCTGGATTTACATAAACATAATATGAAGGTAAGTGATATTCCTTCATTTTATTGTATGAAACAATATTTAATTCCGTACTGATCCTTATGTAAGTGGTAAATTTGTCCTGGTAAAATATGTCCGGGCGGACACATATTACTAGTAGAAAAAGTCCATGGTTACAAAATTTACTAGTATTTTTAGTCCGATGTTAGTAATTTATGTCCCCAGACTAACTTTCCTAGGAATTTAAGTCCATGTCATTAATATTCCTAGGTAAAAACGTCCATGTCTTTTATTTAAATAGGAAAAATATAAATGAATTAAATCATTTACATTTAAACAACGCAAATTTAAATGTTATGTTTTAATATTGTTTAAGAGTTGTGTTTTTTTATATTTTTAATAAAATTTATGTCCCCAGACTAATTTTCCTAGGAAATCATGTCCATGTCACTAATAAACCTAGGTAAAAACGTCCATGTCCTTTATCTTAAAAGGTAAATTTTAATGAATTAGATCATTTAGTGACATGTAAACAAAGGAAAATTAAATGTTATGTTTTAATACTGTTAAAGAGTTGTGTTTTAATATTCTTATAAAATTTATGTCCCCAGACTATTTTTCCTAGGAAATCATGTCCACTCTCTTTGATATTCCTAGGTAAAAACGTCCATGTCCTTTATTTTTAAAGGTAAATTTACATGTTATGTTTTAATATTGTTTTAGAGTTGTGTATTGATATTTTAATAAAATTTATGTCCCCCAGACTAGTTTTCCTAGGAAATCATGTCCATGTCATTAATATTCCTAGGTAAAAATGTCCAATTTTTATTATATAATTATTTACACAAGAGATATTTTGTTTTGAAGATATTCATTGATTAAATCACTGGTCAATGGAAATGTAAATGTAAATGGTGAATGTAAAACAGGTCCCAGACTTCTTTTCCTAGGTAATCAAGTCCATGATCATAATTTTACTAGAAAAACAAATCTTAGTACATTTTTTCCTAGGAAAATAAGTGCCAGACATATTTTACTAGCTATGGACTTATTTTCCTAGGAAAATTTGTCCTAGGACTTACATTCCTAGTAAAATTTTACTACCGGACCAAATTTACTGTTACACTTACAGGAACGGCAGAAATTTGAGAAATGACAAGAATGTAGACAATAAACTGTCTGAGTTTGCCTCCTAGCCCTAGGGATTCAAAAATCCATTTAATTCCAACCATATTGTGGAAATTTCTGCACAAACAAAATGTTTGTATAAAATGTTGTCCTGAAATATCCCTCGGACGAGCCCCCAATGTAACGGGAGTGAAGTTTCCTTCTGGCTTCGCTGTCTTCCCGTTGTCTAACCCAAGTTCTGGGATATTGGACAAACTACGATATAAACAGAATGTTTATTTGAATAAATACATGGTTGAAATATACAAGTCATACAATAATGACATATAAAAAGATACAAAAGTACGGTGGTAGCTAGTCTACATGTTGCCTAAAATGTACGAGCCAAAGTACGAGCGTCTGCTCATTTCAAATCCTCTCGTAGACTGCCCAAAGACCCGGTGAGTGACGTCATATTTATAGTTCCTAGGGACAACGAGCTCGGTCGGGACATCAGGCAAGTGCAAGAACAGGAAGTAACCCGATGAGAATTTACGTGGCCGGTCTCGGGAATATTTGTGGAACTATAAATAATGCTAACTTTAACCAATTTCCCCAATAAAACAAACGCAACAAGCAAACAAAGTGACCACCGTCACAGTATTAATGTAAATTACTGGTCAATTTAGGCATTAGTTGTTAATAAATAAACTCATCATAGATCCATGATTAAAATTTTGTACGCCAGGCGCGCGTTTCATCTACAAAAGACTCATCATTGATGTTCGAATCAAAAAGTTAAAAGGCGAAATAAAGTACGATGTTAACCGATGTTTAAACAATGTTGGATCTAATTTCAATGTACAACTCCATCGAGAAATGAAAAAATATATTTTGAAAAACTTTTTTGTTTTATTTTCATTGGATCTGTCCGGATTTTGTCTGTGGCTATTGCTTTCTGATTGTTTATAGTCTCGCCATAATTTTCCAAGCGTGAATTCACATTACAGTCTTGTTTTTTATATGCTTATCAACTGCTTTTGATCCCGTAGGTCTACACAACCAAAAGTGTCTTCGTTATTGAGCTAGTAATATTTTGTCTTTTTTTCTTCAAATTTCATCTGATTATGCAGAAATCCTATAATATGCCAACGTACGTGATAGAATTTGTCGTTTTCATACCTGACTACAAGTTGAAACTTCACTTTCTAAACATTTGAACATGGATGTAAATTATTCATAAAGGAACTACTTGTACTCAGAAAATAGTTGGATGCGAATAAAAGGAGATGTGGTATGTATATACGTCATGTGACAGCAAACCAGCAACATAAAAAACAAGGCTTAGTACATCTAGAGATCAACACAAATGCAAAACAACCGTTAGTTATTTGATTATAAATCAGTCCGATGGTTTTCCCGTTTCTTTTGTTTCACATTTTGTCATGTCTGGGCCTTTACCTGACAATTTCGTCTAATTCAGTGTTCACAGTATTGCGCAACGCATCCAAAGACGTCCATTATCATACGACGTCACTATGTTAACTATAGTAACGTTGTAGTTATCAGAGTTTAGGACAAGCATTCACACAACGTTCAGTCCAAGTGAAGACTAATTTACCTTGGTTTGGTTTGTTTTCGAGCTAAAAGTCAATTTATTGTAAGTATATGCCGATTTTTGTAAATCAAAATCTGCTGATCTTTCAACTTGGTCTCCGTATAAGAAGAGTTTCAAAAAGTACCAGTACCTTAATTTGTTGTTTTGTGAAAGTTTATTTTTGTAGGATGGTCTGGATAAGGGGTCCTATATTTCTTTATTCTTTAATTTTTATTACTATTTTTCTCTATTATTTATTCATTTTCACCATTATTCTCTATTAATTCTTTGATTTTAGCAATCGGTTATTCCCTAAATTTTTATTATTATTTTCTTTGCCTTTTTACTCTGTTTTTTATTTTTTTCGCCCTTTATTCTGCACTTTCTGCTCATTATTCTCTATTCTGTAAACCCAATCTAGACCCTCGTGTAGTGTACAACATAAGTAAAACCATTAAAGCAATAAATAAGTAACGAAGGATACATGTATAAGAATTCAATGGTCTTGAAGTAAATCAAAATAAGAATAGAACTTATACAGGAACATTTCATTCAGACAGAATTGTTGACAATCAACCTCAACCTGATTAATTTTTTTTAAAATAAATCAGTTTACTTTATTATTCAATGTTCTATTTGCAGAAGTATACATATTGAAATGGACGGAGAGGAAAGGCAAACTTTCGGAAACGATATTTTACGACGTATCCGATCATTCGTATTTGGAAAGGTAAACATACTCTCAGTTTGTTTTATTTTAGATTAGCTTTGATTTTAAGCAAACTACATTTTCTCGGGAATAACTTAAAAGGATGTCTGTGTTGTTATTAATATGTAGGTAAACATTTGCTGAAAACAAAAATATCGTCTCGAAAAGTCTTATTGCATTACTTCATATTAATATCGAGTCTTATCGCTTCTTTTTTGACTTTTGAATACAGTGCAGGCTTAGCAAAAGTAGAGTTCTTTCGCACGTGTGGTGAAGTCATGCTTTATACATGTACATAAGAAACTATAACTTGTTGTTACTGAGTAAAATGCGACAGAATGTGATAAGGAGGTCAAATATCAACCTGTATATCACTTCGTCAGAGCGAGGGTATAATTTTTAATTGCTATAGATCTCTATTGAATAGCTGCTTTATTTTTTTACTTCTACCGCTCTAAAACAAGTCGGTATATGATTGATTTGTACCCTGCTCTAACCATCATGGCTTGTTCTTTCAGAGAAAAGAAAATCACAGAAATGATAGTTTTACTATCCCTTGTGGAAACATTAAATTGCTGACATTAACCGACACTAAAACAAAGTCAGCAAATCAAGGGGACAACAACCAACAACAGAAGAAAAACGAAGAAGAACAACAACAACTGAATCAACAACATCATCAACAACAACAACAACAACAGAAGAAAGACGAAGAACAACAGCAACAACAACAACAAGAAGGTAATGAAACATTAATGATGCTTGTTGACTAATGTCCAGTGGCCGATATTTCTTTTTCTTATACCTAATATAGTTATCAGGTAAAAGATTGTGGCACTGTATAAAATGTGTGAAAAAATGTCATAGAATATGCAAGATAAAGAAACAAATTAAATATAAAAGTATAACAAAAATACCGAACTCCAAGGTAAATTCAAAAAGGAGAAGTCCATAAAACTTGACAAAATCAAACGTTATCAACAATCGGAAAGCATGGAAAACAACTGTCATATTCCTGACTTTGTACAGGCATTTTACGAAGAAAGTATGGGTTTAACCCGGTTTAGTAGCTAGCTAAAACTCCCACGTATACACGTATTTGTTTGAACGAAACAATTGTTTCAGTATACATTGTTGAAATAGTTTAAAAATTCAACTATATTAAATATATATGAAAATAAATCATAAAAAAGCAATGTCTAATGTACTATATTAACTCAACAGTGACAAAATTCAATTTGAGAAAATAAAAAATTAAGACATTCGCTTTTTATAAAAAGAACAAGCCAGTGTCATTACTAAGGCAAAAGAGAGGCGAAAGATGCCAAAGCAATAATCTCATTTGTCGAAAACGAACTATCAATGTCATGGCAAGAAACGAAAAACGACTAAAAGACAAACAACAGTGTATACAAAACACAACATAAAAAAAAACTAAAGACTGAGGAACACGGACCCCATAAAAAAACTAGGGATTATCCCATGTGCTCCGGAAGTGTAAGCAGAATCTGCTCCACATGCGACACCCGTCGTTTGATTATATAGGAAGCAACAACTGTATTGAAGCAAATAAAAATATCATTTTATTTACATTTTCCACAGTATTTACAATTAAAAAATAATCATCATACGTACACAAAAATTATTACTTATGTCCACGAGATTATGGTATAAAATTGAGAATGGAAATGGGGAATGTGTCAAAGAGACAACAACCCGACCATAGAACAGACAACAGCAGAAGGTCACCAACAGGTCTTCAATGCAGCGAGAAATTCCCGCACCCGGAGGCGTCCTTCAGCTGGCCCCTAAACAAATATATATACTAGTTCAGTGATAATGAACGCCATACTAAACTCCAAATTGTACACAAGAAACTAAAATTAAAAATAATACAAGACTAACAAAGGCTAGAGGCTCCTGACTCGGGACAGGCGCAAAAATGCGGCGGGGTTAAACATGTTTATGAGATCTCAACCCTCCCCCTATACCTCTAGCCAATGTAGAAAAGTAAACGCATAACAATACGCACATTAAAATTCAGTTCAAGAGAAGTCCGAGTCTGATGTCAGAAGATGTAACCAAAGAAAATAAACAAAATGACAATAATACATAAATAACAACAGACTACTAGCAGTTAACTGACATGCCAGCTCCAGACTTCAATTAAACTGATTGAAAGATTATGTACTCTTTTTTTCCAGAAGGTAATGAGAAAAAAGGAAAAACAGAAGTTAAAGTTCCGTTCTCACTATTTGTAAAATGTGCCAAAAATTGTTTGTCTACAAAGCAGAGTCGCCAACAGCTATATAAGGAGAGCTACACATACTTTTGGCATTTCTTGTTTGGTAAAGCAGCGGCAAAGGCACGCATGGCAGAGGAGGAAAACTATTACGAATTCTATGCTGATTTTGATGAAGAGTTTTATTAGCTTATTTGTATATATATATGAGAGAGAGAGAGAGAGAGAGAGAGAGAGAGAGAGAGAGAGAGAGAGAGAGAGAGAGAGAGAGAGAGAGAGAGAGAGAGAGAGAGGTTGATGTGTGTGTGTGTGTGAGCAGATGTTTTTTCTATTTTTCCTTTTTTTCTTGTTTGAATTTCTTTTTTCCCGTTTTTCTTGTTTTAATTAAATAATATTGATCACCCACTATGTAGTAGACTAAGTTGTTAATTCTAGATCCGATTCGTATGATTTTGTAAAATGAGCATGAGCTGTTACGGTACACGCGAAGGATTACGTCATTATGTTTGATATAGGCATTGGCAGAATGGTCTGTTGGATAGCTACACATCTTTTGCCTTGAAATAGGTCTATGTGTTGCGCTCTCAGTATACGAAGCATCATATTTAATGCGCCTCTCCCCCTCCCAAAAAAAACAACAACAAAAAACCAAATGTTTCTTCGTATTTTTACATCTCCTTAGCAAACGGACTTTCTCCCCTTTTTTTGCATGGGATTAGATGTCAATCGAAAGAAAAAAAAACCGGGGAACATGAGACAGCAAACCGACAATACAAAAATCCAAAAGACATCTACAGGCGTTCATGTGATTTTCAAAACTAATCAATTTTCAAATAACTACACCACTGTATCAGGTTAGGGGAGGGTATGGCGCCAGCAAACGTGTATTAACCCTGCCACATTCTGTTTGTACATGTCACAAGTCAGGAGCGTGTAACTCATTAGTTGTCATCTGTTGCTGTACATCATAATTGTTTTTCGTTTATTGTTTTGTACACAAACCAGGCTGTTAGTTTTATCGTTTGAATTGTTTTACATTTGTCATTTGGGGACCTTTTATAGCTGACTATGCGGTATGGGTTTTGCTCATTGTTGAAGGCCGTAGGGTGACCTTAGTTGTTGACTTCTATATCATTTGGTCTCTGATGGAGAGTTGTATCATTGGCAATTATACCACATCTTCTTATTTTTATATTGTTTGATAAAAACTGTTCCAAAAGTATATATGAAGGAAGTGACACGAGCATGGTGTATTAATATACAATTCTGACATCAATTGTGACATCATCAGCGTGTCAAATTGTTTTGGGTAAAACGGAAATTTAAAAAAAAAAGTAGTCACGGAATGAAAATTCTTTAGAGCTTCCGTACATCAAAACATTCTCCCTCATAAGGTTTGGATTGACTAGAATGCTGTTGTTCTATCTAACAGTTGTTTCCTTTTGTCAAAAATTCTAAAATTGATAAGAAGAAACTTGTAATTTGAAAATTGACTACAAATTTTGTGCTCTATATCTCCTCCGAGTCTGGAAATTCAATAAATATTATCAAAAATTTTCTTTTACTCCCAAGAACCCTTTATTACAAGAAAATGTCACGAAACAAAAAAACATGGATTCTTATGTCTTTCCATTTGCATTACATTATATTTACATTTTTTGATCTTCAAGGAATTCATAAATGTGACATCACCGACAGGGGCGGATCCAGCCATTTTTAAAAAGGGATGGGGGAGGGGGGGGGGGGGGGGGTACTAACCCAGGAGAAGGGGGAGGGGGGTTCCAACCATATGTCCCCATTCAAATGCATTGATCGTCCAAAAAAAAAGGGTGGTTCCAACCGCCGGAACCCCACCCCCTGGATCCGCCACTGACCAAATTTGTACTTTCATGAGCAACACGACGGTTGCCACATTTAAAGCAGGGAATGCTTACCTTTTCGGAGCACCAATCTAATTAAAATATAAAACTCTGAAAATCAGAGTTCTATATTTTAATTAGATTGTCGGAGCACGTGAGATCAACCACGTTTTTTTTGTGGGGTTCGTGTCGCTCAATCTTGGGTTTTCTAGTATGTAAATGTAGTGTTTTGTAGACCCAAACCCTATATCGTCCGAATTAAGAAAGAAGTAACGAATAAATTTAAAAGAAACCATCAAAGTTTTTATTTCCAGAGGATTGGTATTTTGAACGTGTGTTTAATGCAACGTATTTCTTTGAATAAAACAAACCACTGTGTCCATTTTTAAGATTTGATAGAAATGGTATCGATTGTCGAGGATTGTATTCGTTAGAATAAAATCTGATTAAAATACATTCTCCAGGGTACTGTCGTGTCAATCTCTGGCGCAGATATTCATGAGCCTGTTTCCTGTTCTGTTTCACTCTCTGTCTTCACCCTATAATAATGTAACTGAAACCCAAAATAATAATACGAAAACGAAAAAAAAAAATTTATAAAACTAATAAAAACTTATGACAAAAATATATACTATACTTGTATCACAAACTACAATTGCTTTTGTTTTGTGTGATTTTTTTGGGGAAATTAGGGTCGAACCTGGATTAAAAAGACATAGTGTGAACTGGGTATACCTTTATACTCAAAAACAATCAAACAAAACAAACGCACAAAGGCTAACTTGTTGTTTGTGATACTGCGAAGCACTTTGTATCTCTCTTTTTAGAAAGGTTCAAGTTATTAATAGTAAATGTACTATTATCAGCATGCGACTTTTTATAGACCAATAAATGATCAATAAATCTCTCAAATGTGCTGATAAAATTGCACGTTAATTGGAGAATACAATACTGCAATACTGGTCTAGGACATTAGACTGATCAGTTTTGATTTTCATTATGTAAGAGCTTTGAAATGTATAGTAATGTCACTGACGGAATCGCAGATAGCATCGAAAAATATTATCGAATTGTTAGAGTAATAATTTTACACTTTCTAATTAAGAATCATATCGCTGCATCTGAATTACAATTAAACGAGGGACACGTCTTGTTATAGAAGTATTTCTTTTTGTTCTTCTCTTACAACCCTTTTTAAGTATCGAGGCCAAAATCCTTTGTTTGCTTCTATCATTGGCTTATGATATTTGGCATGAACATGTATAACCATGAGGCGACGTGACTTATATTATCATGACTTCAATGTTACCTTGGAAAAAATGATCGATTTTTGGGACATTTTCGTGTTCTGAATTTTATATCCATGAAATATGCTTTTGATATTTGAAGCATCGATGCCGCACCTCAAGTACCATTGAAGATTACCTCTGACCTTCAAGATCAACATGATCAAATATTTATTTTTGATATATCCATTCATTAATCATGCATGTTCTTGCATGCCATGGCAAGAGTTTTGAAAATGCTATTTTGCATAATGGATTAATAGTACGTTGCAGAATTTGAAGAAATATTTCAGGTGCTTGAAGTGTGTACTCTTCAATTTCAGCTTTAAATCATATTTATTCTTGAGATAACGTCGCTTATGTGTACGACTTCTGTTTCTCTCCCTCGTTCGTGTGTTTATTGAAACTCTTATGCAGTCCATCCTATTATAGACTATTCGTTACGCAGTGAGTTAGTGACCTAATACGATATATACGGGGCCAGTAGATTTAATATTGGGTAAGAGCGAAGCTCGAATCCCATATGGAATTTACTGACCCTATATCGTATAAGGTCACTAGCTGACTGTGTAACGAATTTATCTTACCAACTATCTTAACATTCGGAATTCAGAGTAGTGGCCGAATGAAGTTATCAAATCTTCGATATTAAAAACCTACTTTCATTGACCAACAATACCAATTTGTTAGCCTTTAACGTGTTTTATGCATTTATTTTCAATCGTTTATCATCAAATTCTTCATCTGTCTGGGCGAAACAATTCAGATTTTTCATCAACGTCATGTTGTTTTTATAAAGGGACGTAACACTGCTACTAACTGTGTTTTAAAATATAACACGTCCACTAACCCAATATCAAATATACAGTTTCTCCACGTGTTCGCTTTAACCAATAAAATTTCTAGACATGTATAGGATGAAATATAAAAAAGATATATTCATAGATCATATTGTGCGACAATATCTAACACCGTTGAGCCCTACAAGAAAACGCCATTCCTCGAAGTACAGTAAATTGACAACAACATGTCTATAGACAAATATTCTGATGTGATCGATATCTGTATATTCCTTTTTTTTTACAAAAATATTGTCGGGTTAATTGTTGAAGTATTTATTTTTGGAGCCTTTAAAACGAATAACAGCAAGCATGCTGCCATGTGAGTGTAGTCATACACATATTAATTCCATTCCGTTGCGTATTTTTATACTTTGTAGCTTACTACTGATAAAAACAATTAGCTCGTTATCAAGTAAACAGAGAGGTTACATATACCAGATCAATAATAATAGAATCAGAAATAAAGGAGACGATTTAAAGGAAAATACTTTGTAATCTATACTTTCAATTACATTGTTGCTCTTTACATAATCGTCGAATCTGTTACCTTTGGAAAGTGTAGATATCTAAGATGATAAGGATTGGTGACTAACGTTCAGCAGCCACTATTACACGCATATCCTGGACGATGATATATTATAGATGTAATATAGATCAACTCCAAACTAACACCACAAGTTGATACTTTAAGTCGAGGATTAGCAGACCATTTTTAAGTATCAAGGAAACAGTTCATAAGAAGAAATTTAACCCTAATCTGGCATATTCCATCTCCTGCTCTAATTAATTATATAAAATAAGGAGATGTGATATGACTGGCAATGAGGAGTCTACATGTATCAACCAGAGTACAAATGATGTGGGTGTAAGAAAATTTAGCGGGTCTTCAATAATTAGCAAAACTTTGTTATTTAAACATGTGAACGAGGTTGTAAAGTTACACAGGGAGAAACGACAAGTACTTGCACTTAGCTGTGAATAAAAGAAATTATACGTCACAAGACAGCAAACCAACACATAAAAAACCGAAAGATTATCTAGAGGTCTACATACGGTTTCAACGAAGAGGCAGGTGACTATGCAATATATCAATTTATATAAATCGCCTCTATTGTAGAAAATTCATATAATACTAACCTAGACCAACACAGATCTGCCAGAAACACATGAAACACTAAATTCGTTTAAGAATTAAACATGTCACATGCATATATCTTTTGTTTATATGGTAAGATCAGTACTTGTCTGTATGGAGATCCATTGGTTATCAGTGTCTTAATTGTTTCCTTACATGGTTGAATTGTGGTCTCACAGGCGTTGATTATATTGAGTTCAAGTCATGCGCAATGTATACTGAAAGACGTCCATTATCTTACGACGTCACTATGTATACTATAGTAACGTTGTAGTTATCAGAGTTGAGAACAAACGTCCGTATACAACGTACAGTTTTGGTTCTAAGTGAAGATTAACTGCCTTGGTTTGGTTTGCTTTAGAGCGGTCAATTCAACGTAAGTATACATGCAGTAACGATCTTTATAAATCAAAAATGTCTTCTATTTGTATCGTGCAAGAAGGGTGTTGGAAGCTATCATTTAAGGTGGCCCCATCTGTGTAGAAACGAATGATGGGGTTCCGGTTAAGAGCTCTCCTTCTGTTATCTAAACGGTGGTTAAGGATTCCTGCAAATCGGCAAAAAAAAAAAAAAAAAAAACAACATGCAAATACCATATTCCTCTTGTACGACCTGTCCTTTAAGGAATGTTATTTCCGAGATGTCGCATTGCGTCTCTGGTCTGAGATACAAGTGAAAATATCGAAGAAATAAAGAAAAATAACAAAGTCTTCGAAATGAATCGAAATATGGCTTGAAAAAATAGAATACTAGTATAAAGGGGCGTTTCTTTCTAGCAGAATTGTTTACGATCTACGCAATGATTATATAAAATTTATACAGTTTACTAATTAAAGCATTCTTTTTTTTTTATTTGCAGAAATATAATTGAAATATAGAAATGGACGGAGAGAAAAGACAGACTTTCGGAAACGATGTTGTACGACGTATCCGATCATTCATGTTTGGAAAGGTAAAATTATCCATAATATGTGCTCACGTAAAAAAATACTACATATCATTGGTATACATTAGTGTAAAATTATATTAACTTGTAAGGTAATCTGTAGAAACATATTTGCAGAAAACGACTTTTCTTCGAGTAAGATAAACAATTCACGACATATTCAGATTAATTACGAAGGTATTCAGCTTTTAAAAGTGGTGGAAGGACTTTTAACGGGACGTCGGGATTGGGCCTTAATTTTGCGGAATGTGGGATTTACGCTTGTCGGGACATGGGAATTCATAATAATTTTTCGGGAAAGAGTGTTTTTTTTTTCGGGAATTCGGGACGACATAACCCATTTTGTTGTTCCGTAGTTAAAAAATTACTTTAAAACAAAATAAAAAGCACAATGATTTACAGTTAATGAAAAAAAAAAATGGGACAAATATTTATTATATGTGAACCATATTTTAAAGATAAATGTTTTTGACAAACATAGCGTAGATTAAGGACGGAACTAAATGGTATGATACAACTCGAAAACGCTTGGTGTCATGTATCAAACATCGGTGGCTAATAGTTAGACAAAAATGTGATACGGACGGACAGACAAAGGTAAACCACCTCTTTAGAGCGGGGATGTAATTATTCAATATAGAACATATGTTCACATTTTTTTTTTAATGAAACTTTATACTTTTTTTCTTCGGCTCTGTTGAAAACTAGTAAGCATTTGAAATAATTTGCACGTTTCACTAACCATCGTGATTCTTTCTTTCAGAGAAAAGAAACACACAGTAATAATAATCATGCTTTTGGGCGCAGTAAATTACTGAGGTTAACATACACTCAAACAAAGTCAACAAATCATGAGGACAACAACCAACAACAGAAGAAAGACGAAGAAGAAGAACAACAACAACAACAAAAACGACAACAACATAAACAACACCAACATCAACAACAACAACAACAGAAGAAAGACGAAGAACAGCATCAACAACAACAACAAGGTAATGAAACATCGATTGATGTTGTCGACTGATGTCCAGTGGCCGACATTTCATACCTGATACCTAATATAAGTTATGATGTAAAGGTTTGTGGCATTGCATACAAAGTATGATAAAAAAATGTCATATTATATTCAAGATAAGAAAACGAACTAGAGTAAACTTGTATGTAAATACAAAATATTGTCATGTTTGAAGGCAACAATTGTTTCAGTATAAATTGTAGAAATAGTTTGAAAATTCAAATTGATTACATATATGAAAACACCTCATAAAGATTTCGAATGTTTAATATCGATAATGAATAAAACCCTGTTCAGTAAAGCTTTTTCATGGGACGCTTGAGCTCTATTTACTCTACAGTCACACAATGTATTTAAAGACAAACAACGGAATACAAAACACAACATAGAAAACTAATGAATGAGCAACACGAACCCCACCAAAAACTGGTGATGACCTCAAGTGCTCCGGAAGGATAAGCAGAAGGGTAAGCAGAATCTGCTCCAAATGCGGCACCCGTCGTTTAATTATATAGGAAGCAACAACCGTATTGTAGTGAATAAAATCATCAGAAGTTTATACAGTTTGTTTTTCCACAATCTTTACAATTGAAAACTAATCATCGTACATGTCCATACACAAAAATGATTGTTTATATCCATGAGACTATATATACTCTTTTTTTCAGAAAACAATGAGAAAGAAGCAAAAACAGAAGCAAAAATCCCATTCTTACTATTTGTAAAATGTGCCAAAAATTGTTTGTCTTCAAAGCAGAGTCGTCAGCAGCTTTATCGGGAGGGCTACACATACTTTTGGAATTTCTTGTTTGGTAACGCTGCTGCCAAGGCGCGAATGGCCGAGGAGGAATATTACTATGAATTCTACGCTGATTTTGAGGAAGAATTTTAATAACTCATTTGTATATGTGTGTTGGTATGTGATGAGAGAGAGAGAAAGAGAGAGAGAGAGAGAGATGATGTGTGTGTGCGTGTGTGAGCAGATGTTAGTTTTTCTTTTTTCTTTTTTTGAATTAAATAATATTGGTCACCCACAAATGTATCAGTTGTTTATTCAAGACACAATCCGTATGATTAGATAAAATGATCTGGTAGGGTACACGCCAAGGATAACTGCATTATGGTTGATGATGTAGACATTGACAAAATTGTATATTGGATAGCAACACACCTTTTCCCTGGAAATAAGTCACTTATTGTTCCATCAAATCGTGGTTGCAATGGTTCTCCAGCAGGAATAGTGTAAATAAAATTGAAAATGGAAATGGGGAATGTGTCAAAGAGACAACAACCCGACCAAAGAGCAGAAAACACTACACTCTTAGCTAGGAAACGAGGCATCGTATTTAATGTCTCTTTCTGCCAGCCAAACTGACTTCGCCCCATTTTTAGCATGGATTAAGCTGTCAATAGATAGAAAAAGACGGGTAATCATGAGACTGCAGAACGACAACACAAAAATCGAAAAGACATCTAGTCAGAGGTCAACATGTCAATTTCATCACTTATCTATTTCTTTCAAATAACCGAAATATAAAATGCCTATATGTCAAAAAAAAAAGAAAGGTAAATAACAAAAATACCGAACTCTAATGAAAATTCAAAACGAAAATCCATTATCAAATGTCAAAATCAAAAGCTCAAACACATCAAACGAATGAAAAACAACTGTCATATTCCTGACTTGGTACAAGCATTTCCTTATGTAGAAAATGCTAGATTAATCCTGGTTTTATAGTTAGCTAACTCTCTCACTTGTATGACAACAAGTTGACACGAGCGTGGTGTATTGATCGAGATCTGATTACATCAGTGTGTCAAACATTTTCGGTAAAGCGAGAATTTAAAAAAAAAAAACGTAGTCACGGAATCAAAATTCAGTACAGCTTCCGTTCATCAAAACATTCGCCTTCCATAAGGTTTGGATTTATTCGAACACAGTTGTCTTATCTTTTCAAAAATTCTTAAATTGAAAAAGTAATTCGATAATTTTGAATTTGACTATTAATGTTATGCCCTAAATCGCCTCCGAGTTTAAAAATTCAACAGATATTATCAAAAATTTTCTTTTACTACCAAAGATCCTTTATTACAAGAAAGTATTATGAAACAACAAATAAGGGAACAAAGAGGTAGGGCCAATTTCCCCTGATTTTTTTTCACAGCAGGGCCAATTTCTAAAAGTGCTGAAAGAATAAAATTTACGATAAAAACAAGAAATAAAAATGTTTTTTTATCAATATCTCGATTTTTATATATTATGATATGTCTGAAAAATAGTTAATTCAACCCCCCCAAAAAGATGAAAGTCAAATATGCGGAATTTACCGTGTTTTTAGGTGGGAAAAACAGGTAAACCCCCGAGAAGGACATTTCAAACCAAAACAAAGTTATGTTTTTTGTTGTTGTTGTAATTCATACAACTTTTTTCCACAAAAATGAAATTGGTTTAGTGTGTCCTTATTATCTAAAAAAACTACTTTTTTAATAAAAAAATAGAACATCACTTAATTGTACCTACAGTATATAGCTGCTTATGCTGCTTAATAATAGATGTGTCTCCAAGAGTCGCCGTGGCTCCATCGGTAGCGCTTAGACCTGCAAAGGAAGATTGTTTTAAAGAAGGGGTTCAAATCTCACGTACATTGTAGATATCTCGTATTTTTTTGTGTTGAAATATTAAATTGTAATGTTTCTATCATATTTTTTCGGATGTTTGTTTAATTCATAGAGTCCTTATGGATCATTTTGACTATATATCATTTCATTAAAGAAAAGAAAAATAATGTGTTGCTTTTTGTGTGCGTTCCTATAACTATCCATACTCTTGACTTACTTCCTATTCCTGTGTTTACATTTATTATATATATGCAAGGAACAATTGCCGACCCGTCAAACTGAAGTAGGTGCTTGTACCTAACCAATAACACGAGAATTGGTTATATAGAAATGACGCCCAAATGTTGTGTATGTAATATACACATAACGAAAAAAGCCATATGATAGCAGAAAAATGTCTTTGGCTTGAATTAAATGAGGATAATGATATCCATCCAGTTAACGGTTGGTTTTGTGAGTGTAAGGCGGGAGCCCGAATAGTGGGATGCTGTGCCCATGTAGCTACGATATTGTGGTACATGGGATATGCCAGACATACAGAATATAAAACCAAAACAAACAGATATTCCGCTGCATTTAAAGATGCCAGTATAGACATTGAAACAGAGACCGATCTTGAATCAGATTAGCTGATTTATATCAGATAATTAGATTATTAAATGTGTTTTGTATTTATATTTCTTTATAACCCCCGTTTTTTTATTATTTTGTTAGTTTTAAGTTAAACAAAGCTAAAAAAGGATTCCGAATATCTGTTCAAGGTATGAAAATAGATGATGTGACGTATTTTCATGTACTATATTTAGCATCTATCGGGCTATTTAAAAACATGATTGACCTACCTAATCAAATGAAAAAAATCAGGGGAAAATGGCCCTACCTCTTTTAGTATGTCGTTCCATTTGCAATGGCTTTTTAATTTTTTTCTTCAAGAAATTCATCAATGTGACAGCATCGAAAGAGATTCATCACCGAACTTGTACTTTCATGAGAAACACTACAGGTGCCATATATGAAGGAGAAAACTTTTACTCTTCCGTAGCACGTGAGATCACCCCCGGATTTTGGTGGGGTTCGTGTTGCTCAGTCTTTAGTCTTCTATGTTGTGTTTTGTATACCGTTGTTAGTCTTTGATCGTTTTTAATTTTTTGCCATGGCAATGTCAGTTTGTTTTCGATTTACGAGTTTGGATATTCCTTTGGTATCTTCCATCTCTCTTTTGTCTCCATTTTGCTCAAATCGAGGCTAAAGGCAATTAGATGTGCGTTTGGTCGTATTGAAAGCCTGCATTTAGCGCAACGAATTAATGAACCATCTCATTTTTTTTCATTCTAAAGCACTTTCGTCAGTTTAAGGAATTTTTCATGAGTACATGAGGGTCTGGATGGGGTTTACAGAATAGAGAATAATGGTAAAAAAAAACAAAAAAAAATAATGAACAAGGAAAAATGACCAAAAAATATAAATAAAAGAGAATAATGGGATGTAAAAGTTTAAAGCATAACAGTTACTGTGGAAAATGAAAGAATTAGATAATACCATACAGATTACAGAAATGAACGTTGTACAAAATAAATAACTCATCGAATTATATGAAAATTTATTTGTAAAAAGATTACAACGAATATTACAGAATAAGATGTACTTTGTTAATTTGTACTTATAATCTGAAGTCCCCAGGAAGATAATTTGTGAAACTATAAGGTTCCCAATCCCCGAGGCAACTTGAAGGTTGGCCTTGCATGGTTTTGGCTTTTGTATGTTTTAGGGGCCTTTGAGAGATTTTGGCTTCGATTTTATCTTTTTTATCTTTTCAAGTGAACAATGAAGTTGAATACGGAATTCCTCTTCAGACGCACCAAATATAAAATGGTAATTTTACTGTGACTAATGACGTCATTTTCTTAAAATTCAGATTATTTATCTATTTGGAAGTATGATAGTTTATGTAATGGTAAAATGTTTTTTCCCATTCTGTTGCGTAATTAAATGGAATGCCGTACGTTGTTTCCTTTTTCTTGATGTTCAGCATAATCCGGGAATATCATGACTAAGAAATGATGTTGTTCTAGCACGTACATGTCTTCGTAATTAGTATAAATAATTGGCCATCGTTGATAACACGAAAATATTCAACTATTAGCTTAATGTATACAAAATAAACTTCCGAAAATTTATCTAGTATTTATATTATAAAAAGATGATATCAAATAGGGAGATGTGGTATATGATTGCCAAGCAGACAACTATCCACCAGAGACCAATGACGTAGATGCTAGCTAGAGACTAAAGGTCACCGTACTTAAACTTATCTTGGATCTTAGAGTCTCAATTGTCCGACGTCGACATACTACTCCAGAGTTCAGATAAATTACCCCGCCCCCTTTTCAAACAAAATGAAATAAAATAAAAAGTGGGCATGCGACTTCTTGGGTTTGTGTGGATGTTCAAATGTGTCTTCAACTTATTCGTTTTTCACTGTAAATTTATTATATAAGATGACGAAAGGGTTTGCAAAACTAGTCATCCTCGAAACTGACCCAAAACATGTCCCCATTCTGTTCTCTATTAATACAC